TTTTCAAGTTCCATTTAAATATCTGTATTTATAGAGGGTCTCACGGGAAATCCTCCCTTAATTTAATTCTCTCTCTTGGTTCTACCTTTATTTCAGCTTTCACCAACAATCACCAGTGGCTTACACAGCATTGCCAGGAGCATTGAAACACGGAACTACTCGGAAGGATTGACCATCCACACCCACATAGTGAGCACCAGCAACTTCAGTGAGACCTCTGCTTTCATGCCTGTTCTCAAAGTTGTTCTCACCCAGGCCAATAAGCTCGGTGTCTAAAAGCACAGCTTCACTCCCATTCAATATTGCCATCTTTCCAAAGAAACATCTTTAAAAAAAAAATGATAAAACATGGACCAATCCTCATTAGCATGTTTCCGTAGCAGCCAGTCAAGAGCATTTACACTATTTCTGCAGATATACTCACCTTAGAACTGCTCAAAACCCTGGTGCTTTCTTTTTGTTTTAATCTTGGTTGCCCATGATGATTTTCCTACTCTGCAAGTAGTGTATTTCCTGGATTACACATGGTATGGTTTCCTGAAGCATTCTGATAAGATACGGTTTTTAAAACCTCAGTATACTTTTTAGAAAGGGAGCATCTGGTTGTGCATAAGGCAGAGCTAAAACTAAATTTCTTTCACGTCTTCCCTGCTTCCTCCATGTCAATCAGATTAAAGTGTGTAATCCTATTTTATGTGTTTGCGGTCTTTTTTTAAACAGCGGTTCGCAATTTAGTTTAATCCCTATTTTTTATGTCTTTGGCTTCGCCCTGGTCTTGAACAAATAGCTACATCTACAAGCTGCTACATAGGTTTTAGCAAATATTAATGAAAAATAGGATTACTTGCTTTAAATGTATATAGGGAAAAACTGGGCATTTTCATTGGGTAGAAGGCATTGAGCTTTTTTCTATTAACAAACGTTTTCAGTATTCTATTTTGAGTTTTAAGATTGAATTGTCTACATTTTACAGTGAGAAATTTGTTCACCCATTTAAAAAAAAAAAATTGCCTGCAACTTTGAGGTTTAAAGTTCAGAAAGAAAACTTTAATTTCAGTCAGCCTTCTGAATCAAAGCCAGACATTTTTCAGCCAGTTTTTCTGTCAAGT